TGGAAATTAAGTTAATGCCTAAACCATAAGGTCACACGCATTCAAACCTGTAGTCTGCATGTGCCTGGTTCTGTGTCTTACACAAAATGCCAGTAGAAGTGGCTTAATTATCAAAATTGCTTTTTAAAGATTACCTTGTATTTGCCACTTGGAACCTTCAATGAGGAACTGTAGCAGTATTTTAGTAACTTTGATTTTGCTGTTGTCTTGTTCTACTGGCCCAGTGATTGAACTCATGCTAGGCATATACTATAGTGAGCTATATCTCCAGCGGGCCCCACCTTTCCAGTTCTATACACCTGGTCTTGAACTTGCCATTTGCTTGCTTTAGCTTCCTTAATATCTGGGATTACAGACCTGTGCCATCACCCAAGATAGCTGAGCATGAGCTATCGTGTATCTAGTTTCACATCACAGCAGAGACTGGCTTGTTGTTGCCTGTGCTCGGAATTGCTGGACACTGGGTTCAGGTACATGCTAGCAAAGATTGTGTGTTGCTGCCTCTGGCATCTCCCTCTTTCAGGTATGTCTAAAATGTCAGATTAAGGTTCATGTGCTCTGAAATAGGGGAGGGAGCCCTGCTCAAGGAAAGCTATAAGTACACCTTTGTACCCAGAAGGTGATGAGCCAGATTGCTGTTCTGCAGCACTGGGCAAGGACGGCATCCCTGGAGTTAGGTGGTATTTGATTTTTGACAGTTCAGTGCTGCAAGACTCCTGATTTCCTGCGCAGGGTCCTTGGTGTGTTTTGGGGGCCAGAATCTTGGGTCTTACATCAATCAGGGCTTTTGGGTTTTTCTATTAAGGAGTTGGGTGAAGATGTAGGCTCCTTTGACAAAACTTGAGTTTGGAGGAGAGCAGAGGCTTTGACAGAGAAGGAGAAGCAGATGAGGGCTACAAAGGAAGGTATTGACTTGGCTTGAGGAACAGGAGCACTGGACTCTACTGGTCTAGGTGCCTGAACCCTGGGACTATAAAGGTTACTCCTGACAGGAAGCTGGTGCTGGGCTTTGTGTAGCTAAAAGGCACCCATGTAGTGTGACTGCGTCACCCAGCTCTCAGGAGCTTCATTACCCACTCTTGAGCCATGTGTGCCCTTAGATGCCTCTCCTGGGGAAAATGCTTCTGCTATGAATATCTTTCTGGTTGTGAAGTAAACGCAACATGGAATGTGCTAGGCTATTTGCTTCCCTGGGTGGTGTTTTCTCACTAGTAATTCTTGGCGCCCAAAGGCCTTAGAAAAAGCGTCCCAACAGTACCCTTATGTTCAGCATCCAGAAAACATGTATTCTTTTGGGGTAATTGGTCTAGGTGTGAGTTCCCTCTCTGTCTAAATGTTTCCTTTACTGGCTTTTCTTACAGGCGAGCAAAGCTATTCCGGTTTGCTTCAGAGAATGACCTCCCAGAATGGAAGGAGCGAGGCACTGGTGATGTCAAGCTCCTGAAGCATAAGGAGAAAGGGACCATCCGCCTTCTCATGAGGAGGGATAAGACTCTGAAGATATGCGCCAACCACTATAGTAGGTGGTCTTTCAGGTCTACACCCTGGTCCTCTTAGGAGCTGGTTACCAGGGGAGCAAGGGACTCAGACAAGCCTCTGAACTACCATGTTGGAGGTTACAGAATGCTGACTGGGCAGGATAGGTCTAGGGTGGATGTAGAGCTCCAGGATAGACTCAGGTGGTGATGCAGTGGGTACTTGTTTATATATATTATCTGGGCAAGTCACGGGGGTCTGGTGCCAAAGCTGTTTTCAGTTTCTGATAATGCTCTACCCCCAGCTGTTCCCTGGGATGATTCAAGAAGGGAACGGGGCTAGGAAAATGGTGAGGAAGGAGGGCTCTTGGCCAGGTATGGCCCTGTGGGTCTACACAGAAGTCTCAACAAGCCATCCCTGCCCTGTTTATATTCTAAGGATCCATCTTCGGGTGGTCTTGATCCTGGTAGATGTAGTGCAAAAATCTGTATTTTCTAAATTTAAAAATCTTGTTCTCCTCATGAGTCTGCATGTGGAGGACAAAGTAGCATTGTGGAGTCTGTTCTTCCCTAATACCTTTAAACGGGTTCTAAAGTCAAACTGGGATCTCTGGCCATGCAGTACAGGTAGTCCTTTTATCTACTAATGCATTTTTTTCTTTCATTTGTGTGGGAACTGTTCTCTCCTTTCTTCTTTGGGTTTTGGGGATGAAACTAGCCAGGCTGTTGGCAAGGGCCTTACTGAGACAGTTTACAGACCCCGAATGTGCATTTTCTAGCTGGCCAGGATCCTTTGTTGTGTTAACAGGTGGTTTGCTAAGGCAGGGACATGAGAAACACCTTGGCCCTCGATACTTCACAGTTGCCTCAGTCTCCCTCCAATCTCAGTTTAGAGGGTTCCCTTGGGAGTGAGTCACGAGCTGCTCCCAAAGCCTGGCTAGGTTCCTGTGTGATCTCTACCAGCCAGACCTCCACCTGGGTGGGGCTCCTTGTCTCACTCACCTTACAGGTCCTTGGTTATTGAGTCAAGGTTGGATATTGTCTCAGTTACCACTATTCTATTGCTATGAAGAGACACCATGACCAAAGCAACTCTTAGAAAAGAAGATATTTAATTAGGGCTTGCTTGTGTTTCAGAGGGTTAGTCCATTATGGCAGGAAGCAGACAGGCATGGCACTGGAGCAGTAGCTGAGAGTTTTATATCCTGATCTACAAGAGAGAGCTTGAGAGACACTGGGCCCAGCGTCAGCTTTTGAAACCTCAGAGCCCACCCCCAGTGACACACTTCCTCCAATAAGGCCATACCTCCTAATCCTTCCCAACAGTTTTTCATCTGGGAACCAAGCGTGCAGATATTTGAGCTTCTGGGCCATTCTCATTGAGAGCACCACAGGCATCAAGTGAGGTGTAGGGAAGTGAGGCCACCATGAGATGCTGCAGCTCAGATACCTGAGCTCTAGCTTTGGCTTTCATGTGGGACTGGTCAGATTAATTCACAGGCCTCCCTAGAATCCTGGAAATGTTGCCAAGGGAACAGGAACCAGGGGCTGGGCTTAGACACTAGTGAGTAATACTCTAGATAGTAAGCTTTCTTTTAGGTTGGGGGGCAGCTGTCAGTGCTGTAACCTTTCCCCTCAGCTCCCCTTGGTTCTTTGGGACCCAAGGGATTCAGGATAAATAAGTTTGTTACAAGCCATGGCTTGTCTTCCATGGCATACTAGCATCTGTCATCGGATTCCAGTGTTCATTACTTGTGTCCTTACCTCTCAGATAGATCTTCCTGGACTATAGAGGGCCAACCAAGTAGTTGCACTGTGTTATCCCTGATTTCAAGCTCCTTCGCCTCTTGTGTTCCCATTTTTCAGTTTTGGTGTGGGCATGTGTTTGTAGCCATATGTTGGACCCCTTTAAGAAAGTTTGAGCCTGAATGGCAGAGCCAGTGCTTCAGGGTCCTGAGCTTGTTCCCATGTGGGGATTGTATAGTTGGCATTAATTAGTGCTTAGAGTTGTGTAGGCTTGTGTTAAAATTTCTTCCTAGGGGCAGACATAAGCAATGCCTGTACTTCTCCTGAGGTCCCAATGACAAATCAAGGTGTGATGCCATCACAGTTTACTCTGGGGAACCAATGAATTTATTGGTCAAAGGTGACGTGTTACTTACAGGGGCGTGGGTACTTCTCACCCTATCATGCTATACCTGGAAAATCTTGACCTAGCAGGGATGATGGTTTCTCCATAGGTAGAGCCCCTTTCTCTCCCCTAGTCTTTCCCAGCTTAATACTCTAGCCCCTCCTGGCAGAGGACATATGCAATTAGGGCAGAGCTACACACAGCCAGTGATAGGGAGTAGCTTGTTATTCGGGTGAATCTCTGACCCTCTCCACCCTTGAGGGGATATAAACAGTCAAGCCCAGCTGGGATAATATGCAAGTGGGCAGAGTGGGCACCCTTTAATATGGTGGTTGCTTGGCTAAGAGGGTATTGGATACAACAGCTTGGATCTCAGGTTCCAGGCTCCATGTTTGCTCAAGTGGGTCCCTCACTTGGTTGCTCTGGGTGAGGGCTGAGTGGTTGGGCCGAGGGTCCTACTTTCCTTAAAGGCTTCTCTTCTTTAGTCACACCGATGATGGAGCTGAAGCCGAATGCTGGCAGTGACCGTGCCTGGGTCTGGAATACCCATGCTGACTTTGCTGATGAGTGCCCCAAGCCTGAGCTGCTCGCCATCCGCTTCCTGAATGCTGAGAGTAAGCAGAACTTGCCCAGTTTGTGGGTCATCTACTGGGAAGCTGCTGCGTTGGGAAAATTGACCCAAAGCATGCAGAGCAGAGCCCGCCTGCTGTGAAATCGTAAGGGTCTGTATAAACAGTTGTTGCATCCAGTTGACTCCATCAGGTGTGTGGACAGAGACACACCCTAGAGTTTCCTCCTGCAGCTGCCTTGTCCCCTACAGATGCTTGGACACCTGTTCCAGCAAAGACTGCAGGGATCTACAAGCCCTGGCTGATCTCTCTTCCATGGGGGAAACTTTGTAGTCTCAATTGCTACAAAGCTATGCCCTGGGGATCATGGAGAGTTGGCGGGTACCATGGCCAATGCTCTAGTGGCTGGTGCTCGTGTGAAACTCCTTGGTTTAGGAGTGTAATATGTGTCTGGTAGCCCTTCCAATGTGATTAGAGCCTATAGCAAGAAGGACCTTGGCCCTTGGCTATCTGAATTGTTGAGACAGCTTTAGGTGTTAGGTGGTCAAGAGCTGCCATTAGGGTTGGGCATGGTGGCACATGCCTTTAATTCCAGCTCGAGTGTATAAAAAAAAAAGAAATTGCCATTGGGAATCATGAGTTGGCTCGTCAGAACTTCAGGGTGTTGCCACTCTCCTCTGAGAACGCTTGCTCAGTCTCTTCTCTCTACAGATGCACAAAAGTTCAAAACAAAGTTTGAAGAATGCAGGAAAGAGATTGAAGAGAGAGAAAAGAAAGGTAACATGGTGCCCCTGGGGTGATGAGGATGGGTGGCAGAGCTTCCTTGCAGATTCACTCTGCACCTGGCTGCATCTCCAGTCTGGTGCTTTTTCTGTCTGCCAAAGAAACATTCCAGGATGCTGTGGCTGCCTCTGCCTATGGCGGTCATGCAGCTCTCTGGGGACATGTGATTCCTTGGAGGCTTTGACCTCATGTTGGCCTCATGGTGTTTGTACTTGGTTTCAAGTACATAGCTGAGTTACAGCAATCTGGAACCCAGGAGCTAAAGGGCTTTTAAGATATTCCTCACTTTCTCTCAAAGAATTCTGTGTCCTGGTCACTTATTAACACAGATGAGGCGTACCACCAGTAGCTTGCTGGGGCCTTTTGGGCCCATCTGAGGAGTGTGGTGGGTGATGCTTAGGGAGCAGGTCCAGCCTGCACTGGGTGAGTGCCAAGAGCAATGCAGTCTCACAGCCAGACTTCTCTATTGTCTTACTGCCTTTGCCTGTTTTTGCAGGACCAGGCAAAAATGATAACGCCGAAAAGGTGGCTGAGAAGCTGGAAGCCCTTTCTGTGAAGGAGGCCAGAGATGAGGCTGAAGAGAAATCTGAGGAGAAGCAATGAATCACTCTGTCCTTTCCTTTCTTTTTCTTTTTAAAAATTTCCCCACCCTTTAAGGTTTTTATTCTGTTTTGTTTTTACAAGGGACTTTATAAAGAACTGAATTCCAACCTTCAGGATTTTTTTTTTTTCTCCCTAAGTTTTGACACCATTGAACATGACTTCAGAAATCCATTCCCCAGTCATGAAAATGTACTGTGCTAACTTTCTTTTCCATAGTGGAAACACTTATTTATAGTCATCAAAAATAGTGAATAAAAAATGCCTTTGAAAACCTGGATTAGCTGGCAAGGCTGTGTAAGGGGGAGGGGAGCTGTGCCTGGAACCCTCCTTGGCCACCTGTGTACCTGAGTGCAGCCTGGTTTCTTAGGAGAATCAAGTGGTGTGTTTTGCTGTGGCTCTTATGTAATAGTGGACACTATGGCATGGTTTGTCCATGCTGGTCCTAGAGGCCACTAGGTGGGATGGCAGCTGAAGAGCCCAGTGGGGCTGAGGCTGGCGTTCAGGGCCAAGGTATACTGTTTCCTTGTGGTTGGAACTATTACTTTGTGCCCTTGTATAGGTTGGCTGTGCATGAGAGAGAGAGATGATGATGATGAAGGAAGATCATTAGTACTTTAACCTTGGTGAAGGGGTGGTAGGCAGCCAATCAGGTCTGGCTATTAAGAAAACAGGTTTTGATTGGCTGTGGTTAATAAGGCAGCCCTTAGCTCAATGGAGGGAAAGACCATCCTGGGGATGCATATTTATTCTAGTGCTATGTCACAGTATAGCTGTGGATAGTCAGTTCCTCAACCCTCCTGTTGGAAACCATTAGACGCCCTAACACATCACTGTTAGGATTATGGGACTAGAATAAAACTTGCCGTATGTGGGGCTGGAGGGTCAGTTCTAAGAAACCGTATCAGGCTGCTCACAATTAACTTATGCTCTAAGGAATTCGACCCCTTCTTTGCCTGCTCAGGTAGTACATGCAAGTGAAATGTACATATGTGTATGTATGTATGCATACAGATACAAGAAAGCCCTGGTATTGTGGGCTGTCATGGGTCTCAGGAACTGTACCAACCCTGCCTCTCACAGGGTAGAAGCCATGGTGACCTGATCCCTTAATAAGAGGAACTGCTGGTCACTTTGTAGCTGACTACCACTGCCAGAGGTGCTTTAGCATGTGGCTGTCTGGGCTCCATCTGTCAATTTGTTTATTATTACTGGCCCTGTTATGTCTGACCTTGTCAGAGTGGATGTGCTTACAAATACAGTTTTCATTGTGACATTTCTGTATAGACATATTGTACTTTGTCTAGTTCCACACCACCTCACCCCCTTAAAAAGTACCTTTTCATTCCTCCAGCTGGTTTTTAAAAGTCAACTTAAGAGTACTGGCTGTCTCTTGGCTTTCTCCATCCCAGGAAGAGATCTGCACACAAAGTGGGGCCTGATGAACTAAAATTGTGACATTAATCACAGATGGCCTTCAATGTACTTCGTAGAAGGGCTGCTTGATCTTCCTCAAGGGAATCCCTGGGCCAGGGCATTCATTTCAACAAAGCACAGTAACCCTTTGCTTTGAGTTGTAGTAACAGGTGCTCACCAAATAAGTTTCTTCCCATTACCACTGTTTGGAGGAGGATGGCTGTGGCAGCATCTCAACTAAAATCCAGAAGGGTTCCATACTACAGATACAGAAAGGCCCCTCCAAAGTGGCTAGGGGACACTGCTGTCCTGTGCTCTCGTGTACTGTATTCTCGTGTACATTCAAGGAAATGCTTGTTCACACTGTGGAAGGTGTAGCTGAAAGAAACATGCATTGGTCCAAGTCTGAGTGCCCAACTGACAACGGGTTGGAGGATATCAAGGGGTTGTTGAAGCCACCCAGCCTGGCATTGTGTCCTGAGGCACTGGTAGGCTGAGGCAGTAGCAACAAGTGTACAGTAGCACCCTCTTATACATAGGGGACATTCCAAGACCCCCTCCCAGTACCAAGTCCTCTATGTATTATGTTTGTCACTGTATATACACCTGTGAAAATTTAAGTTTATAAATCAGGTAGGTATAATGGGAGATGAAGCCAGACATAACTGCAAGAATATAGTGAATATGGTCTAAATAGTTTACTGTAGGTCTTACCAACACTTTGCTTCACAGGGTCTCTGGCATCACTACTGTTGAAACACAAGAAGACTACGATAAGGAAGTGGGTAAGCCAAGGGAATTCAGATCCAAGGTAGAGAAGAGCAGAATGGTGCACTTATTAAGTTGATTGGTTGGCTGGTTTGACTGCCTCATAGAGCCCAGGCTGGCCTGAAACTGGCTGTGTAGCTGAGGATAACCCTGAATACTGTGTCCACCTAAATGCTGAAACTAGGTAGATATGCCATTTATATGGTGCTGGACTTTGTTAGGTAGGTATTTTACCAACTGAGCTACATCCTGACACTTGTTATGTAGCTTGACTAGCCTGGAACTAACTATGTAGACCAGGCTGGCCTCAAACTTGAGATCCACCTACTTCTTCCTTCCTAGTGCTGGGATTAAAGGTGTGCTCCACCATACCCAGTTGGTTTGGTTTTTGAAATGGGTTTCACTGTGTAGCCAAGACTGCAACTCTGAAGCAATCTTCCTGCCTCAGTCTTCCAAGGGCTGGCATTACAAGAGTCACCAGACCCAGCTAACAGCACACAAATCTGAGTTATTTCTGGAATTTTCTATTTAACAATTTTGAATTGGATAGCCGAAAGCATGGAAAGTCAGAGTGCCACTGTGTGCTGTTTTGTACCTCCATCTGTCCTGAGATGGGCTGACTGCTACTTTTCACTTTGTTTCATCCCCTTTTTCCGTCCTCGGCTGTGGGTGCCATGGTTGCTCTGGTAAAGATCTGCCTGGGCCTCACAGTGCCCATGTTCCCTGCTGCCTTGCCAGCCTATTCAGGAAGAAAGGTGCCATCACCACACGCCTCCGGGCTCAGCAGCTGGTGTCTATCCTGCAGGACACCTGCCTGGGATTCTACATTAACCAAAAGGATCTCACTAGGCAAGCAGTCTCTCCCATGGCCAGTGTTTGCTGTTTTCCTACGTGACTATGGCAGTGGAGCAGTGTGGCTGTCTTGGTACCCTACACACAATATCTGAGTAGAGTCAGACCCAGAACCAGAAGAACTCTGCATGGGCAGGGGGTTATTGGGGGAGCCCTCTGAGAGGGCCATAGAAGTTCTGAGCTTTCTGTATTAGGGATTGCAGAAGGACAAGAACAAAGTGCAGACTATAGATGGTGTAAATTTGGCTGAACTGAGTGCCTAGTGCAGAGGGCCAGAGGATACCTGAGAGCAGAAAGGAGAGTGTCGGTTCAGCTCGCACTGAGCCCTGAGGCCCCTTCACTGGCTATCTTATCAATGCTGGAAGAATTCTTGGTGAACCTATGTCTTCTGGCATCAAATGGCCAACAGAACAGTAATTTGACAGAAAGCACATCACTGTTTATGCTGTTGAAAAGCTGTCTCTACCCTAAGGGATCCATTGAGCTGTGGGCCTCCGGGCCAATGAGTCCCAGGCCTATGGGATTGTTGCAGGGAGGGGGTAATTTCGGGACTCGGGGTTCCGGCTGTACAGAAGAGCTCTCCCAGCATCTCCATCTGGGTAGGGGTGGCAGACAGAGGAGCGCCTTCATCCTGAAGAATCGCCAGCCAGCATCCTGCCCAGGCCCTGAATAGGCTTCAGAGTAGTGTGTTGGAGTGACCAGAGCAGGCAGTGGAGTTTAACCACGTCCCTACTCAAAACACACTGAGGCTGATCCGCCAGGGGAAGCTAATGTAGATGCCTAGCCTGCTTGCCCATACTGCAGCATCTTTGGAAGGCCACGGTCCACCTTAAGCCGCAGCGCCCTGGAGCCGGCAGGTGGGCTCTCCCGCATGTGGGGAGCATGCGCACCCTCCATTGAAGGCCAGGGCAGGGTACTGACGCTTCCTTTAGGGCACCAGCCTTCTAAAGGCACTTCTCGGTCTCCTACTTACACATGCCCTCAGTCAAGCCTGCGGCCTGAGCCAGGACGCAGAGGAACTCGGTGGCCCAACTCTAGTGTCTGGAGGGCTGCTAGTTGGGTAAGGTTTTGATACCCGCGATGCCCCTACCTTGTCACAGCAATCTTCCCCCATACCCTAGTGACTGCCAGGGGCCTTCAGCCTGCCCCGGGACTGTGCTTGGGGAGCACATAGGCCCAAGAGGGGATATCGGGCTAGGACCTTCAAGCAAGAAAACCCGGCTTCCCACGGTCCTGCAAGTACAGAAGGTC